CACACGCAGTGTCCCAGCGGGGGATTGCCTGGCGCAATGGGTTTTAGTCCAAAGGGTCCTTAGAGGGAAAGTCCCACGGTTTCCCGGTGTCAGGAGATTGGCTGACCCTCACAGGACAAGTCACATTGCGGTTCCTCTACATTGGCTTAAAATAGTATGGGCACACAAAGGTTCACCGGGCCAGCTGCAATGAGTCATGCATGACACCGGGGAGGGGGCTGGGGTGAAATATTAAGCGAGCAGAGCAGAGAATGAGGTCAAGGGATACGAGCGGCACCACAGACCGAGTGCACACTGGCAGGGTGCGTATTCGCCAGCCGGGCGCCCTTCCAGATTAAACAAGTTGAGTCACAAATTAATGAGTCCAGGTGCGTAGATAATAGGTCGAAGTAACTGGCGCAATGCTCCATGTAAGGCAAGAAAAACTAACGGAAAAGCACAGGTAGGCGCACGATTGTAATTGGCCGGGCGGGATAACGTAATCCTGGATTTTGTTTGAAGTCAAGGGGCATAAAAAGGGGAGCCAAAAAACGTCCAGGAGACCTCATCTTCAACAACTTGGTTGCCAAGACCCCCCCCCTGCCATCCTGCCTCCTCGAGCCGCTCGCAGCATCCGTATGATGCCAGCGAGTCCTGCTACGAGGCAGTGATGGGAAAGGTTTTTTCGTCATCCTCCCTCCGACTCTCACAACGTCCGTGCGACGCCATGAGTACAGCTGCGAGGTACGTGATAGGGCGCGTGAGTGTTTGGCGACTTGGATAGCAGTAGGCTCAGCTTTGCTCACCGAATATTCCCCCCGGGCAGTGTAGGGTTTGCGCCGTGAATAAACGTTAACACAGAGCATCAGTGCAGTGTCTGCTGCGATCTGTGTGTGGAGCGGCTGCGTGGGCAGACGCGCAGTGAGAGTGAGGGTAGAGCCGCAGCACGAGGGCGCCTTGATGTAATCGCCTGCAGGGGCGCGCACGTTCGCACCGCCACGCTAGTGTTAGCTGTGGTGTGCGCGTGTTAGGATGTAATCGCCTGCAGGGGCGCGCGCATTCGCACCGCCACGCTAGTGTTAGCTATGGTGTGCGCGTGTTAGGATGTAATCGCCTGCAGGGCCACGCTAGTGTTAGCTGTGGTGTGCGCGTGTTAGGATGTAATCGCCTGCAGGGGCGCGCGCGTTCGCACCGCCACGCTAGTGTTAGCTGTGGTGTGCGCGTGTTAGGATGTAATCGCCTGCAGGGCCACGCTAGTGTTAGCTGTGGTGTGCGCGTGTTAGGATGTAATCGCCTGCAGGGCCACGCTAGTGTTAGCTGTGGTGTGCGCGTGTTAGGATGTAATCGCCTGCAGGGCCACGCTAGCGTTAGCTGTGGTGTGCGCGTGTTAGGATGTAATCGCCTGCAGGGCCACGCTAGTGTTAGCTGTGGTGTGCGCGTGTTAGGATGTAATCGCCTGCAGGGCCACGCTCGTGTTAGCTGTGGTGTGCGTGTGTTAGGATGTAATCGCCTGCAGGGGCGCGTGCGTTTGCACTGCCGCATCAGCATTCGTGGAGGGGTACGCGGGCATCGTGCGGCGGTGAGCCAGCAATGTAGTATGTCCCCAGAGAGGGCGCTAGCGCAGGAGGGCCGATCACCCGGTCGGCGAGGAACTTGCGGCAGCCGACCAACACGGTGGAGGAGGAGGGAGAGGAGGGAGTGGAGAGAGTGGAGGGGGCGGACGTCACGCCCACCTGCCTGGCGAGGGTGGGGGGTAGACGCCGGCCTTCACAGGGCCGATAGTTTGAAAAACGAATTGCAACAGTATTGCTTCAAGCGAGCCTGACTGCTGATGAGACACTGCATGTCGAAACTTGTGTTGAACTAATGCCGCTGGCGTTGTGCACTCGCAGAGGGCCGTTTGGCTGATGGGATGTGTAAAATACGTCCTTCCAGTCTATATGTGTTACGTGGAGAGACGTAGAGTATGGAGACATCCATTGAGTACGGAAGCAAAGATCTGTCACAACTTGACCCCCCCCCCCTCCTTGTGCGCACGATGACTTTTTACCCCCCCCCCCCCCCACCTGCGTACGTCGGCTTGAATCCTATAGAACGGCCGATATTTAATCCACACAGAAACGATGAAGGATGAATAATATTAACGTGTTTAAGCAAACAGATAATCCACCGCCGGCTGCATTATAGAAATTAAGTTGCGTACCTTTTAGAAGTTTGTCTCGTGTCCGCTAGGTTCAAACGCCGACTGAACCCAGTGGAACAGGTGACGCATTGTAGGAGTTTCGTGAACACGCGCCGTGTCCGGCTGGAGCACAGCATTGCGAGCTGCAGTCTGCTGGGCCGCCGTCTCAAGATCCACAGCGTCGCTGGCGTCATCATCATCGTCCAGCTTTTGAGTGTTCTGTCAGAAGACGCAGTCGTGTGAATGCGCTCGTGTCGTTTGACACTGGCCTGCGGCAGCTAAAATCTTGAGCCAGCGGCAGTCTGCAGTGCGGCCAGATTGAAGGATGTGTGACCCATGGGGCAGGCCGCCAGACTGTCAGACTCACTGCTGAGCTGCGTGATAGCTGCAGGCAGGGGTACGGTGGCATACGAGTGGCACCTCTCCCACAGTCCCACTTCTCCCGGTAGTACTTGTCTGACAGCTGAAGAAACTGAACTGTGGCTCATTTGCAGGCCAATGTAGACATATTATTATCGAGGCTTAACCCCCCCGCCTCCCGTTTCCTATGTGTACGTACATTGTCAGTAGACCCCCCCCCCCCCATATGCAAGCGTACGCATTTGAGGTAACCCCCCTCCTACCTCCATGCGTACATACTAAATGGATGGACCCTATATGGGAAGGTAGCAAGCTGTTGGGAGTGTTCCTAAACGTAGATGCCATGGCATCACGTGTCATCTGCTTCTCACGTTTAAGGCCTCGAATGGTCTGGCTCTATCTAAATATCTGTGATAAAAGAGCTTTTTAGCTTATCAGATTCTTCCAGTATCTTTAGAGATTCTGATCTCGCCGATATTGCTCAATCTTGACTTAAATCTTTAGAGACTGCAGGAATTCATATTCTTTGGGTCTTTCGGTAAATCCACGTAGATAGAAAAATAATCAAATCAAATAACAATATCACGATGTTTCGATCGCAATACAAGAAATCGTCATCAGGTGAAAAAATATAGCGGGAGAGCTGCTGAGGCAGGAAAAATATATGGTGGGAGCGCTGCTAAGGCAGGGAGTTATAAAGGTTTGAGATGGGTGTAGCCCAAGGGTCAGTGGGCGGGGCTAGAGATAAAATTTGAATGTAAATGTAAGATCAGAGAAATCTTGACAAACGAAGCTGTGGGGTGGCCATTGTATTGTGAGAGATTAGCATGTCAATGTAAGAGATTTGCTTGTAAATGTAAGCTCGGAGAGAGCTTAGAAAAAGCCATCGCCATTTCCAACAGCCTAAAATCGGTTCTAGCTAAAGGGTTGAATTTCGCAGTCACCCCTAAACACATCTCAGTTGATGATATCATTGCCCAGGTCGACGTAGCCCTTAAGGGTTTGGGACACATTCCTGCAGACGTGGCAAGATTGGAAATCGCTGTAATCCTCAAAAATGCAAAGACACCTATTAGCCACATCAGCAAGGATGAGCATCTTGAGCTTTCTCAACTAAAAAAGAGAGATGACATAGTCATCCTCTCAGCCGACAAGGGCAATGCCACTGTCATCGTGGACAAAACCACATACAATAACAAAATTCAGGACCTACTTAATGAATGCAGCTATACCAAAATCAATAGAGATCCTACCAACCGCCTGGTTATGAAAACCAACAACATCATCACTGATCCGACATCTTTAATCGAACCAACCAAGCGGCTTTCCTTAAAACCCTCTGCTGCTAGACCACCCAGATTTTATGGCTTACCAAAAATCCACAAAGAAGGTACACCACTCTATCCTATCATCGCCATCATTATCTCACCCACCTACAAACTGGCCCGATTTATGTCTGAGACCTTGCAACCATTCACTGGTAAGACCACCTCAGCTGTACTCAACTCAGCTCACTTGATATCTTCAATTAAGGACATCTCACTATCTCCAGGTGATTTGCTTGTCAGTTTTGATGTGGTATCTCTGTTTACCAAAGTTACTGTGTATGACACCATTGCAATCATTGAAGATTTGGTCCAACAAGGACTGAATGCTGATGTACCGGCCCTGGTGAGACACTGCCTCACCAACACTTACTTCACTTGGAATGGAACATTCTACAAACAAGTTGAAGGTACCCCAATGGGTTCTCCCTTATCTCCAGTTGTAGCCAATGTTTTCATGGAGAAATTTGACAGATGCCATCCAGGCATCCACCCTACGTCCGTCCTTGTATAAGAGATATGTAGATGACACGTTCGTCATCTGGCCACATGGCCTACCAGCTCTGGGCCATTTCCTCAACCACATCAACTCCATACACCCAGCCATCACATTCACCATGGAGGTGGAAAAGGATGGCAAGTTACCATTCTTGGATGTTTTAATCGAAAAGAGACCAGATGGCTCAATGGGACACTGTCTACAGGAAAGCCACCCATACGGATGCCTACCTAAAACCTGACTCCCACCACCATCCATCCCAAAATAATTCCCTTATCAAAACTCTATCCACCTAAAGTCACGTAGAAAGAAAATAAAGTCACGTAGAAAGAAAGAACCAAAGAGTAATTCCTGCACTCACGAAAGCTTCAAATCAAGATCGAAGTTATTGTTACTACCAGCCTACATGACGTCATCACAACCTGTCGGCACACCGCGACATGACGTAATTTAATAAGCGGGAGCCACATCGATGCATGACGTAATCATACACGGATTGGCGCTTGCCGTTGCACCATGACGTCACCCGATACAAGTTTCCTCTCGCGCGTCACAACGGCTTCGCGGCGTCATCAAAGACACAGCACACATGACGTCTACCGCGGCAGAAGGCGACTTCCGGTGACGTCATCGCCGCGGTTGCTAAGGGGCGTCACTGATCGCCGCGTGACGTCACGACGCCGCTCTATCGCCTCGGGACGCGGCCGGGGTCTTGTCAACCTGGGAGCAGCGGCGATTATCACCGTCGATTGTTGTTATTATAATTCATCGACGTGGTGTGTCAATAACCACGTTGTGAACCGGTAGGGAGGTGCGTGTTGGTGTTGTTGTGGAGAGGAAGAAGGCCCCCCGCCAGCCTCCAGGAGGAAGAGCGAGGGAAGCGAACATCTCGCCGGCGGCTTCATGGAGAAGTGCGACAAAGCCGAGTCCATCCTCAAAGGCTTCACCCTGTATCCTCCTCCTGCTGCTCCTCGTCAGCAGCAGCAGCAGCATCCTCATCATCGCTCGCACAAGGCGGTCTCTTTCACGATGCAGAGGGTCGGTGTTTTGGTGGGGGGGGGGGGGGTGAGATGGCCTAAATGTAAATTGTGTGTCGTTGAATCCGCCACCACCCGTCCAGGCCAAATCAGTAGGGGGGTGAGGGGGGGGGGCATTGTTTGTCGCGTAAACAACGTGGCGATCGTGGGACTGGTACGGCGCGCACAGCCGTTCTGTGCTGGAGAGTTAAACACAACAACAAGAACAACATTCACCATCCGAGTACGGCGACGTTTCGCTGGTGATAGAACGTGTCAACCCACACGTGTCTAACCCACACGTGTCTAACCACACGTGTCTAACCACACGTGTCTAACCACACGTGTCTAACCACACGTGTCTAACCACACGTGTCTAACCACACGTGTCTAACCACACGTGTCTGTCAACCCACACGTGTCTGTCAACCCACACGTGTCTAACCACACGTGTCTAACCACACGTGTCTAACCACACGTGTCAACCCACACGTGTCTAACCACACGTGTCTGTCAACCCACACGTGTCTGTCAACCCACACGTGTCTGTCAACCCACACGTGTCTAACCACACGTGTCTAACCACACGTGTCTAACCACACGTGTCAACCCACACGTGTCTAACCACACGTGTCTGTCAACCCACACGTGTCTGTCAACCCACACGTGTCTGTCAACCCACACGTGTCTAACCACACGTGTCTAACCACACGTGTCTAACCACACGTGTCTAACCACACGTGTCTAACCACACGTGTCAACCCACACGTGTCAACCCACACGTGTCTAACCACACGTGTCAACCCACACGTGTCTAACCACACGTGTCTAACCACACGTGTCAACCCACACGTGTCAACCCACACGTGTCTAACCACACGTGTCAACCCACACGTGTCTAACCACACGTGTCTAACCACACGTGTCTAACCACACGTGTCTAACCACACGTGTCTAACCACACGTGTCAACCCACACGTGTCTGTCTAACCACACGTGTCTACCCACACGTGTCTAACCACACGTGTCTAACCACACGTGTCTACCCACACGTGTCTGTCGACCTACACGTGTCTAACCACACGTGTCAGCCCACACGTGTCTAACCACACGTGTCAACCCACACGTGTCAACCCACACGTGTCAACCCACACGTGTCTAACCACACGTGTCAACCCACACGTGTCTAACCACACGTGTCTACCCACACGTGTCAACCCACACGTGTCAACCCACACGTGTCAACCCACACGTGTCTAACCACACGTGTCAACCCACACGTGTCTAACCACACGTGTCTAACCACACGTGTCAACCCACACGTGTCAACCCACACGTGTCAACCCACACGTGTCAACCCACACGTGTCTAACCACACGTGTCAACCCACACGTGTCAACCCACACGTGTCAACCCACACGTGTCAAACCACACGTGTCAACCCACACGTGTCAACCCACACGTGTCTAACCACACGTGTCTACCCACACGTGTCAACCCACACGTGTCTAACCACACGTGTCTAACCACACGTGTCAACCCACACGTGTCTAACCACACGTGTCTACCCACACGTGTCAACCCACACGTGTCAACCCACACGTGTCTAACCACACGTGTCTAACCACACGTGTCAACCCACACGTGTCAACCCACACGTGTCAACCCACACGTGTCAACCCACACGTGTCAACCCACACGTGTCTAACCACACGTGTCTACCCACACGTGTCAACCCACACGTGTCAACCCACACGTGTCAACCCACACGTGTCTAACCACACGTGTCAACCCACACGTGTCTAACCACACGTGTCTAACCACACGTGTCAACCCACACGTGTCAACCCACACGTGTCAACCCACACGTGTCTAACCACACGTGTCAACCCACACGTGTCTAACCACACGTGTCTAACCACACGTGTCAACCCACACGTGTCTAACCACACGTGTCTACCCACACGTGTCAACCCACACGTGTCAACCCACACGTGTCAACCCACACGTGTCAACCCACACGTGTCTAACCACACGTGTCTAACCACACGTGTCAACCCACACGTGTCTAACCACACGTGTCTAACCACACGTGTCTAACCACACGTGTCAACCCACACGTGTCTAACCACACGTGTCTAACCACGTATTCTTGTACAGCCAAATTGAGTTTCCAGGTCCGTACGGAGGTACAGCCGTTTCAATACGGGCAGCAAACATTATTTTGTCTATTTGTGTTTCTTCCCTTGTGATGGGATTTTGTCGGATGAACGCTGAGATGTATAAGCGGCACGCGGTGACCAATAAGGTCTGAATTGGTCTGTAATCAGGTAGGGCACTGGTAAGGGGCTGACAGCTCTGCGATTACATCAATCAGCAGCAGCAGCAGCGGCGGGAGATTTTACCAGAACGTGACGAATCTTCCTGGACTGTGCTGGGTGGTGTGCGAGTTGACGATACATTTATACTTGCGTGTCGAATCATACAACAACGTGTGGTGGTACTAATGGTAGCTGTTATCGCTGTAGAATACGCTGCGTTGTTATGTTTTGCACTGTGTGCGAGGTGGCGCGTGGCACTGTAACACATTGCACGCCTTGGCCTTGCGAATACATTGCGAGTGTGTATCACACGTTACATTGTCATAGCACATCGCGTTTTATGCTTTGCAGCGTGGTGATAACGACTCTTGAAGTTTCCTTGTGCATGACAGTGCTGTACGTGGCATTGTAATGCATTATATATAACGTGACATTATATCCCTTATACATTATAGCGGTGATAACTTATCGTTATATGTATAACACGTTGGCTTATATATTGCATTGTGTATGAGACTTTACATGATAACACGTGGCATTGTAATACATTATAGTGTGACACTTCATATTGTAACATTGCATTTCTGTATGGCATACTGTTGTAACTGAATATGTGACATTAGATTATAACAGAGTACACATTTGAACGGTTACACTTTCTAACACTAATTGTAGCACCAAATTATATCCACAGAATATAGTACCGTGCTGGGTGGCCAGAACACAGGGTTATTAAATAGATTTTAACACTGGCGTTAAGACATTTTAACTATATTATTTAAGTTCATATTTTATCTATTATCATTTTTCATATCTATTTTATCTATTCTTCCGAGAACCCTGGGTGAATTGAGACAAAACTTAATTGATGAACGTTCAAAGTTTACAGCTGTAATTCTACATTTCTTTTAAAAGAGAATTCATGCAAGCATTGGATATTAATGGGAGTCAGTTTGAACATTTGTTAAAATAAATTAAGTATGCTATAAGATTTGTTAAATATAATAACCCTGTGTGTCCTGACTTTTGGGCCACTCTGTATATGCTATATTATTACATATAATGTGTCATGGTATACTGTTATAACAGTGTGATATTGTAGCATACAATATACGTTATATTATACCATTGTATAATGTGTTATTACGTTATAACACGGTAAAGTATACAATGTCATGAAATCCATTACATTGAGAATAGGTTTTCCCCTTTTTTCTGGCAACAAAACAGTTGTGTTAAGATGTTAAAACACCAAACTGAAACCTTTTACAAGGAATCATGTCTGCATTCACCACAATACCGGTACTTGTGTTCAGAATGCAAACAAAAACATGCTCTGATAATTATAGATTTGAAGCTTTCGTGACTGCAAGGATTCATATTCTTAGGTTTTTTCGGTAAAGTCACGTAGGTAAAACATTAAAATTAATAAAAGTAAAATAAAATAAAAATCACGACGTTTCGGAGGCAACACAAGCTTCCGTCTTCAGGTGGAACCGACACAGCCACGACAACTGTATCAAGTAAATGAGAGATTACAAGAGCTACCACTCTGTATATATAATGGTTGAAGAGGGGAAGGGCCAAGTACGGCACACTTTTTATTAATATGGTAAGGTGAGGCTTAAGACTAAGAATAGACTGCATAACAAAAGACTGAGCCTTTGTTATGGAGAGGTACGGTTTGTGTCTACGCCTAGCCTACATAACAAAAGTGTGAAAAAAGAAAACACTAAACCTGGTAAAACAAAACTGGCTGTCTATCAATAACCTATAATAGTTGTCTGTCAAATAAGATGGTCCAAATAAGTGTAGTTAAATCTTTTTTGCATGGTTAATCACATCTTTCCAATGATTGCTCAGTTTGTAACCATCGTCACGGTTGAAATTATGTCTGTGTTTGTATATTTGTATGGCTTCGTGTACAAACCTTTGATGGTACGGATACTCTGACCGCACCATCCGCCAAGCTATTTCTCCCACCACACAGAAACAGCCACATGAAACTCCGACCAAAACTATCACGTTACCATACATAGCAGGCGTGACCAAAAAGATCTGCAAAATTCTAAACAAACATAAGATCCAAGTCCGATTCAGTACAGTGCATAAAATCCGTGATCTGACTCCATCTGTGAAGGATGTCGTTCCTGACTTACAGTATCCTGGAGTCTACAAATTGAGTTGCAGTTGTGGTGATTGCTACATTGGAGAAACGAAACGTCATGTTTCTGATCGTGTCCGCGAGCACAAGTCAGATCTGAAACACGGCAGAACTGATTCTTCGGCCATTGCCGATCATTGCTACAACTCTGTGGGCTCTCATGAAATTGTCTTTTCCGAGACCAAGGTGCTCTGCAAACCTCCTGGCTACCATCAAAGGTTTGTACAGGAAGCCATACAAATATACAAACACAGACATAATTTCAACCGTGATGATGGTTACAAACTGAGTAATCATTGGAAAGATGTGATTAACCATGCAAAAAATATTTAACTACACTTATTTGGACCATCTTATTTGACAGACAACTATTACAGGTTATTGATAGACAGCCAGTTTTGTTTTACCAGGTTTAGTTTTTTCTTATTTCACACTTTTGTTATGTAGGC